AGCTGACAAACATCAAAAACACAGAGAAGACACCTTGCAGGAGGCACTTCTTTCCACCAGTCTTATCCTCTGTACTTATCTGTAAACCCTCAGTCAGTTGCGTTCTTAAGATAAGGCCACCCTTAATGGAATTCTCCAGACACAGTACATACATGATCTCCCCCTGCAATATTTCATCCAACCATTCCCTTGTAAAGGATGTACTGAAAAGCATCAGTGTGTCTTTTAAACAGAGACACAATGAAGTTTACAGCACTCAATTCCAAAGGAAGTCTAACAGCATCAGATTTTTATATAAATTATAGGAAAAAATGACAGCTGTTTGCTGCAAAATTTGATAAAGTATTTAATGACAGAAATCACAGTTCTTCACTGGATTTCCAACATTAAACAAAGGTAATTTTCCCCTCATGAAAAATGAACAATGATGGAAATCTTTGTGAAAGGAACTACTACTACCTAATCTATTTCTCTGGGCAAACTGGAAAGCAGAAGTCTTCATGACACTTTGAGCAAATGACAAGAGTGACAAGAGTGAGACGAGAAATGAGTTAACAGTGACAATGTACTGCAGTGAAGGAAAGTCAGGAAACAGGTTTGTTTAAAATCATTAAGAACCAAGCAGTGAGGTGGAACAGTTGTATACACTGGATTGTGTATAATCTTGCTTTGTCATGCTCAGAGCCATGTATTTTTCGTAACTGCACAAAGTATTTGGTAATCTGTTTACAGCATTATGTTGGCATGCCAATTTAAATACCAAATATTAAGATTTGCTAATATTACTTATCTCTTACAATGCCCTTCTACTGACCAATATACTACCAGGAATCTCGACACAAACAAACATGAAAATAAATGATTTACTATTAAATAAAACTGTAAAAACTGCCTCTCATCTGTCTCTCATTATAAGGCTATAAACCTAACACAACACACACATATTAATCATTAGACTCTATGTCATGAGATGTGATTACAGATGGGGGAATCACCCCAAAACAGCTTCTCTGAAATTCAGGTTACACAGAATTTTTAATAGTGTGCCTCTAACTATTTATATTGTTCAGACTTTATGGGTGATAAAGGAAGAGGTAATTAATTACAATTAATAACCAAGCAAAGCATTTTAGGGTACTTACTCATTTGGGCACAAACAGAGGTGGTATTTAATACAACTAAAAGTGAAGCACTGAAACAAAGGGTATACTCGCAGCACAGAGGACCACCCTGGGAAGCAGCAGTTTGGAAAAGAACTTGGCAAGTGAAGTTTTAAATTGTAAGTTCAGTGTAAGCGAAGCGATTTTTGGAGGCACAGACAGTTAAATGTGCGATATAACCTACTGCTCTTAGCTAAAGTGCATTAGACATACCAAAGACTAACAGGATACCAATAAGATAAATTGCAGAAGGGTTAAAGAAGACAACATGAGGAAAAAAAAACCAACAAAACTGGAAAACATGTTGATTTAATGTTTAAGAAACTGAAGTTTTCAATCATGGCTGTTTGAAAGGATGACTTCAACAGCCTATCAATTTCTAAGAACACCTTAACTGTATGTATGTAAAGGGTTCTTCAATGCAACAGACTAAAGTATAACAGGATCCAGTGGATGGAAACTTAAAACCAGAAGAATTGGTGGGAATTTTAATGGAATCTCAACTGCTGGACAAAAACCTGGACTAGATGCCAGTTTGTGCATTTTTAGCTTTCTGCTGCTGTAAGCACAAAAAGGAACACCTTTGTATCCAAACCACACCAAAAGGAAAAAAAAAGACCAGACCTTAATTTCAAGACACCAAGACAGCCCTGTTATTCAACGTTAACCCAGCAGTCAAGACATACTTCAGATTTGATAGTGAGCCCTCAGCCAATGAATGCTCTCTGCTGCCTTCACAGCTGAAGCACTATTTTTCATCAGTACCTTGACAAAGTACAAAAGGCTCACAGTCAAGCCTGCCATGTCAGCAAAGCCAGTGCCCTCAACTGTTCCTTCTGTTAAACAAAATTTGGTCACGGCTCTGTTGGAATGCTTTGCACTTCTCTTGCTCCACTCCAGCTGTGAGGCATAAAATTTCCAAGAGAACTGCTGTGGACATCTGAATACTCTACATGAAGTCTTTCTGAAGCTTTAGGAAGGCTTTTCCACCTATTTCTTCTCAGATCTTTTAGGGCCTGCAAATCACCTAGTTCAAAAAAACTAGCTTTTCTTCTTTACAGCCACAAAACAGTTACAAGAAATATTCCCCAATATGCATCCATTCAGGCAAACCACATCAGCACAATAAAAAAAATCAACACGTTTGGCAGAAAACACACAGCTGGTGATGCATAGGTTGAGCATCACTACCCTAATGCGCATGATACCAAGTAACAGCTACATGATAGACAAAGATGATGTCAGTTGTGTTATAAAAAGGCAATCCTTCACTACAGGGTGGGGGGGAAAGCAAGCCTTTGTCCCTTTCCATGAAAAGCTGGAAGCACTGCTTTAGGGAAATCAGCTGCTGCCAGCTGTCAAAAAAGCAGACTGATGTCCTAGAACATAAAGCTTTAGCTTCCTCACCATAAGAGACCTCCAGACGTTGATGTTATCCTCACCATAACAGATCTCCAGAAACGGTGATGATATCTACAGTGAAGAGCCTAAAATGTAATCTATGTTTGATACACAAAAGAGTTAATGTTTAGATTATGGTTCAGTATTATTTCATGGAGTAATTTATGAAGCAACCTGTCAACTTACAGGTGTCTGAACTTTCATTAGCACATGTATTACCTACATTTTATATCAGTGCACAGGTCTCAGTTAAAAAAACAGATTAAACTGAGAGGAGCAAAGGAACTAGCTCAATTAAGAGTCACGAAAGCTTCAGCACACCCAACTGCACTGCTCAGCTTTACTGGTCAAAACCCACCCAAAAGGTAGTTTTGGCATGGCAAGGTAGTTTAGATTTCACTGTTAACTTTTACAGCGTCCAGCCAGAAAAGCATTTTGATTCAATTACGGCAGTTTCAATTCCCGTGACTGGGAGCAGAGCACAAACTTTTGAGGGTAACATGAGTTACAAAATACTTGCCCATTTCAACCATACAACAGCTTGTTGCCTCCCTGTAAGAACCTAGGACTTGTACCATGCCAGCTTGGTATTTTTTTCTTTTTGTAACCTAAGATTATAAAAAAAAAATAACAATTGCTTAACTTGAACAATTTCCAGAGGGGGAGGAAGGCGTATCCTCTCTCCTTCATCCCTCAATACAAGAACACTTGCTATACCTACTATGAAAACTCCTGCGTAACTTGATGAGATCAACTTTTCCAAACGACCATTGTTTCAGTGAGAAAATTATCAACAGTCATAACCCTCATTTCCTTTGGCATCAGATGTGAACACAGTGCTCACTAGTAAGATTAGTCCCCTCATTATTAAGAATGCTGTTTATTACAAGAAAATATGCAGCAGTTTCATAATCTACAGTGTGAATATGGAAACATAACATTGTTTCTGAAGCACACTTTTCTGAACCTTTGAAGAATACGTTTCCTATTGAAAGAACTGTATTGTCTGCCTTTCCATTTAAGAGACTGGGTTGATTTCTGCACTGTTTCCAATGCTAGCAATGTATCAGTCCCTGGGCTGCCCCTGCTTGTCCTTATCCCGATTCAAATACACACTCAATATGGCATCTGCATCTAAATAAGTAAGCAGCTGTTTTATTTTCCTTTCTGAGCCATAAGAGCTAGAATGAAGGAACCACTTATCAGCTGCTCTTGGGAAATCAACTAGAAAAGACAGAGGAAAAAAACAATAATTAAAACAAAAAACATTAAAACAAAACATTGCACATCCAAACCTCGGCAACTGGAAGAAAGGATGCATGACAGATGCACGCACACGACCCAGATCCGTTGTGCATCACCCTTTTAGCGCTACCGTTAGGCCCCGGGCAGGCAGGCCGGACTGACGAGGGGCTGTGAACCCCAGTGCCCGGGGACAGGTGGCGGTCTGCACGGCAGCCTCCCCCTCGACACCGCCACAACAGCCCTACCACGCGTGCGGACAGCTCGCAGGAGCTGGCTGCCTGAGATAAACCCAGTGGGACGCTGAATGAGCCCACCGGCGCCGACCCCCCGCTCGGCCGCCCCGAAACCCACAGCCCCCCCCCGGGTGGGGGCGAGGCCCGGGTCCCGTAGTGGGGAGCAGATGCCCGCAGGCCGCAGCCGATCCCAGCCGTTCTCCCCAGCGCCGCCCGGAAAACAGCGGGCAGCCGAGGGGCTGCACGGGGCTCCCGCCCCAGAAGGCAGCTTCCATCGAGGGACCTCCCCCGGCCCCCCGGTCTCACCGGGCCCGTAGAACTTGCTGCCTTTGGTCACGTCGAAGACTTTGCCGTTGACAGCCAGGAGGATGCGGGGGTTGCGGGTCCCGTTGAACTCGCGCAACTGTTCTAGGGAGAAATCCCGCCGCTTCATCCGCGGCAGAGCGGCGGCCTGGCCCTCCCGGGCCGCGCCCCCCGGCCCGCTCCGCGTCCCCCAGCGCAGGTACAGCCGGTAGGCCGCCAGCAGCACCAGCGCCAGTAACACCAGCGCCAGCAGCATCTCAGCGCCCACCACCAGCGCCCCCGCGCTGGCCGGCGGCCCCCCCGCACCCCCACCGCCACTGCTCCCCTCAGTCCTTAGCCTCCCATCCCCATGGTCCGCCATCACTGCCAGCTCCAACGCCCGCCCGCCCACCCCGCGGCCCCGCCCCGCCCGGCTCGCGCCCGCCGCTAGCCCGCTCCCCATTGGCGAGCGGGAGAGGCGGCACCGCCCCCGGCGGGCTCGCGCCCCACCGGCCCAACGGCCCGCCGCTCGCGAGAGGTGCCGCCACTCCCCCACGCCCCCGTCCCCACAGCGCGCCTGCGCCCCCCGCGCGGCGTTGGCGGCAGCGTGAGGTGAAGACGGGGGCGGTCTCGGTCTCAGCCACAGTCCCGCTTCCCCTCAGGGAGCGCTTGAGGGGGTTTGAGGGCCGTCCATGCGCCGGATGCTTCCCACCCACCGCCGCGGAAGGGCAGGGTCGAAGGCCGGCGGCTGCTGGCCACCGTGGTGCGGCCACGTTGCTCGGCGCCCTGTCGAAGGTTGCTGAGCAAGCGACACGTCTGCGGGGAGTGAGGAGCGGAGGTGGTGGTGCTGCTGTCCGCTTGTCACTGAGGTGACGCGGCGGGCAGGCTCGGAGGGAAGTCTTCGGAGGTGTCTTAAGGAGACACCCTGCCGTTCCTTGCCGTCAGAAAGTGGGGTGGTTGATAACAGGAGGCTGATCCGCTAGAAAAATCACAGCTCCTTGTGCTGTGAAATGGAGCAGTGGCAGCACATAGGTGGCTTCAGTGTATCTTGTTAAGTATAGCCCATGCCTGGCATCAAGCTTGAGGAGAAAGACCTAAAGCTTTTATTTTCAAGGCAAGAGTAGATGATCTCAGTAGGGTGATGCTTACCCGCAGAGAAGAGAAAGAACTGGGCAGAATTTAGCACATCTGCGCCTCATGTTGTGAACGTGTTCCCAAGCATAGCTGGTTGTCCCATAAGGTGGTACTGATGAGCTGCTCCACAAATGTGTGACTGGATCTACGGAACATAACTGGAGCTCAGCCACTCTTCCCGCAGTTGGAATGCCATACAAGGAATACTTTGGACTTGAGAAATGGGTTTACTCCATACAGCAGCATGGTGCTGAAGCATCCCCACCTAGAAACATCAGGCTTAAGAGTAATTCACAAATACGCAGCTCGGATGCTAAAGTTGGAAAACTCAAAATGTTTTCACAAAGGCTGATAGGAAGTGCAAGGGAGTCAACCCAGGGGAAAATAACATTAATGATACTTAACATTTACATAAAGCTCTGTGTTTACAACACTGTGTCATCATCAGCTGTTTAATCTTCTACCCTCTGAGCCAGTTCAGTAATGACTACCTCTGTGAGGAAACAGGATGAAGTTCTTGCTAGTTAAAGACCTGCAATTAAAATACTACTACTATTCCTCTTAACCAGGCAGCCTCTATATAATATAAGTAAACACTATTAAGGAAGTCCTTTTATCTCAACAAGTCACAGCTTGATTGTGGTTAAGGAGAGTTTTTATCACAGAATCATCATCTGTTTGGGTTGTCTGTGCACAGCTGTGGTGCAGAAGTAGTAGAGTTGCACTCTTACCTCCTCATTTCCTTCCCTTAGGAGTTTAATTTAGACTTTCCACAGCATTCCCTTAACTTCCTTTTATTTTAAAGACGGCTTCAGAAAACAAAAAGAGATAGTAAGAGATGTCAAGTATTCTTACCCGTCTTCCTGCCAAGATCTTATCTCTAAATTCATATAAACTGGCAAAGTAACTATAGACATTTCTTTGAAAGCACATGGTCTCCCAATCATAGAATGGTTTGGATTGGAAAGGACCTTAAGATCATCTACATGCCTCACACCAGATCATGTCACCCAAGGCTCTGCCCTACCCTGCCTTGAACACTGCCAGGGATTGAGCATTTACCACTTCTTTGGGCAACCTGTGCCAGTGCCTCACTGCTGTCACAGTAAAGAACTTCCTTATATCTAAACTGAACTTCCACTGTTGAAGTTGAAAGCCATCACCCCTTGTCCTATCACTACAGTCCCTAATGAAGAGTCCCTCCCCAGCATCCCTATAGGCCCCCTTCAGATACTGGAAGGCTGCTGTGAGGTCTCCACGCAGCCTTCTCTTCTCCAGGCTGAACAGCCCCAACTTTCTCAGCCTGTCTTCATACAGGAGATGCTTCAGCCCCTCAGTCATCCTCATGGCCTCCTCTGGACTTGCTCCAACAGCTGCATGTCCTTATGCTGAGGACACCAGAACTGCACGCAGTACTCCATACATTAGGAATAGTATGCACATACTAAATATACCAAGTATACTTGGATTAGAACATTTGTAAACCTGGCAAGTAGAAACCACTGAAAATGCATAGGTTATAGAATGGAGAAATGGGCCGTCTTCGGTTTGCCAAGACAAAAAGTTTGTCCCTACAAAGTATAAAGGTTATGTTCTATAGCACCCCCCACCCCCCACCTCCCCATGACTGGTAAGGGGTACCGCATTACTGTGTTGCTTCCACTCTTTATGTGTGCTTCTTGGTGGTTCTTTTGGTGTGAACAAATCTACCCTGATCTATTTGACAGCCAGTTGGCATAGATCCTGGTCCACGACTGGGGAGCCCAGGTATTGTTAAATATGACTAGAGGTGTGAAAGGAAAAACAGACATTCTGGGTTACCTGGGGAAAAACCTCAGAATTTTTCAGTCTGAAATTGCAGCTAGTTCATTTGTATGGATTTGATTTGAAGAGCAAAGAAAGTAATACTACTTGCATACCAGTTTGCTGTAAAGAGCTTAGTGAGACTTGAAAAAACATATATGAAAGAATATTATCAAGTTTCTAATTACATGTTATAGCTTTTGTTGTTCTTGAGTAATTATTTAATTTTATAGGATTTTTTACCTAAAGCAGTTTGAAGAATAGCCGGAAAATTAATGACTTATTGCTATAGTCATATGCAATCTCATCTATTGATCCTTGTTTATCCTCTAGTTTGTGGTCATTAACTTCCACAGCAGTCTCTCTGCTGTATCTGCTGTGTTTTATTCTAGCAACAAGGAAAAACCCAGTAGTGTCTTTCAAAGTTATTTGCTCACTGATACTAGGTGTTCAGTATTTTTCTACATCAGTATACATTTTCTTCTTCAGGATAGAGCCTTCTTTGTTATAAAGTTTCAGACATACTGTGACTGACTTTTTCATCTTTTTCCCAAGGATTTCACAGACAGATTAGCTGCCACCTACTTTGCCCCACGTACAAAATAATTCTCCACCATCTTTTTCATTTAGAGAGGAGCAGCTAGGATGATTTTTCGATTTAGGAGGTGAATGCTTCAACTCAGAGTTATGTTCTTCACTTTTTCTTCTGAAACATTACTTATTGCAGACTCTGGAAAGAAGACTGAACTCAGCGAAAAGCATGAGAGCACAAAGTTACAAACAGAAATTGAACTCTGGCACAAACCACTCTCATGGCTGAAGTTTATTTTCTATTGATTTTGAAGCTTGAGAAACATCTCTTATGACACAAAGACAGGCAACGGTCAAGACAGATTAGGAGGTGAGCTGTGTAGGGATGTCTCAGTAAATTCGGAATAATGGAACAATCAATCAGCTGCATTGATTTTGGATATTTTTAAACCCAGCTTAATGTATGGGATGCACTGATGATTTTGTTTTAAGCTGACACAGCTTGGAAGTGCTTACTGTGGAGGTCAATGCAATGCTTCATATCTTATTTCAAAATAGTATCTGCTTACATTCCTTAACTTTATTTTGTATTTATTTGAAGTGCTACATTCAGACTTACCTAAAAATCTTTTGATATCATGTCATATGGTCTTTTAATGAGGGAATGCTGAACACATACAAGCTACTTAGAAATTTCTTTCAGAATTTTGAAAGTATTTTGAGTAGTTTTTTTATTTTGCTACCTGATATGAGTAGCCAGGTAGCAAAGTTCATATCAAGCCATTGTGTTGGTTTGGGCTGAGACAGAGTTAACAGTCTTCACAGTTGCTGTTGTGGGACTCAGTTCTTCATTGGTAAAAAGCATACTGATATTTTTTAGTCTTTGTAAATGACATGATATCTGAAGTGCCTGGTCATAGTATGACAGAAATAAATAATCTCTAACAAAACTGTGTCATTTTTTTTGTCCATTATAAAGCTGCTCTGTGTAATGGTGTGCTTCACAGAAAGGTCCCTATAGTCCAGACTGGGACCAGCAGAAACCTGTAGGCACCAGTCAAGTGCTGACCAGTTGTGTAACTGGGGATACTTTGCTAGTTTTGCTGCAACTGGAGCTTACCTTGGTGTAGGAGGTGAGAGCAGCTTTCCTTCCAAGACGGGAAGCACAGTTTCCTCTGGCTCTCACCTCTTGGTCTCAAGATATATGAGCCAGTGGCTCTGGCATATATTATTCCAAATCTGGTCAAGGAAATCACTGACATGTATACTTGAGATACATTTTCAAAGTAATGTATGCCAATGCATTTGCCAAGGCAAGTTTTTGACAAAACAACTTACTTGAGATCTTTGCAACTGTATGTGTTCAGTTGTGCTCTCAAACAGTAACTTCAGGACTGCAGTAACTGGTCTGTAGTGAAGCAGCAAAGCAAGTACCCCGGCAGACCTTTGGACAGAGACAGATGTAAGGAAGAAGGTGGATTTTCAGTATAAATAGGGCACGCTTCTGTGCTGAGTGACTCTGTTTTCATATTTGACTGTAGATGCTTCTAGAACAAATACTAAATGCTCAGGCCTATCGTTAGATTGTGTAACATCATCTTGTGGGGTATATCTTCAAAACCTGTGGACACTATGTAGGTGCTGCAGAAGAATATTCATTAGTAAGTCTCTGTAAGGGAACACAAGACAAAACCAGCAAGTTACACAGACATAAGAGTGTAGCAAGGAGACTGGGGATAAAGCCTGTCTAAAGGATTTGGGAGTAGACTATTTGCTGGTATATTGCATGAACTCAGGTATGGGGATTCTTCTCTTAGCAGTGGTAGTGTATGGCTCTATAGGTAATGAAATAGTGTCTGTAAAATGCAGAATTGAAGTCAGAAGAGAATTTGAACTCCTTAACGCAACTGCAAATAATTTAGTATTTCCATTCTTCCAAGTCAGTTCTTGACTGTGCAGGTTTGACCTTTTGCATACTGGGCAGAATTGTGTGTATTTTACTACAACACTGCAAACCAAACACTGAATTAACCAGATTATGTTTATCTTTGAAGTGATATGGTTAAATCCCATGAAGTCAATGAGAGTTTTTCCAGAGGCTTTAATTTCACAAATTTAATAATACTAGTAACCCTGTCTTGGCTTTAAAAAGAGATGGGTTGTTTTGTGTTTTTTCCCTCATAGGAAACGCTACTAACAGAGACGCTTTTAATTTAGTTTTAAAACTGATTTAGCCCAATTTTAGTTTATACTTTTTTTTCTTTCTTTCTTTGCATTCTAACTCTGTTTTAGGATTATCTTTATAAGATCCCTCTGCATTTACATGTATGTTTTGTCCTGAAGCTTTATATCCCTTACGTTAAAAATTCCTATGGTAATTTTCCTTCATGTTCACCACAACCATAATCTGCTAGGTTGTCCACAGGTTGACCTCAGTTGCTGTTCTCGCTGTAGGTGTTAGTGTTGATACACAACACTGATAGCTTTGAGTTAAGGATCACAACAGACGTAGGCCACTACTGGCATCCTCTTGTTCCACATTCTTGTATCTCTTCGTCTTGCTTACCTGCCTTTCCACCTCAGTTCCATTAAGTCATCTTATATTCTGTTCAGTGTTACATCACATTTCTTTTAATGGACTATTCTAGGCTGTTGTTCAGAGAGACAGCTAATGAACCCCAGTTTTGACAAGCCAGTGATTCGTAGTAGGTGACTATAGCAGCAGACCTGTGTTTGATAAGTAGTGGTGGGAAATAGACTGCACACCCCAGTCTGGGGTTCATGTCAGAAATGGACACTAGGCTATCCTAGGAGACTGTAGCAGTGAATTCACAGGTGCCCCTGCTGGATCAAAGTGTAGGAGCAAGTGTTTCAAGCTAATACACACTTTTCTTTAGCCATATCTGTTACAGTGTTGGTTTTCCTAGAAAAATTATCTTCTGTTAAGGACAAAAGCCATTTCAGCAGCTTATGCAGAAGTTTATTGCCTGTCTTCCATCCCAAAGTTCACATCATTATTGAGGGGGTGAAATGGTAAATACATAACCAAATGTAAATATGTAATAGTAGTGACCTAATGATTTTCAATAGGCATACATGACCATTCATACAAATAGACACCTTTTCTTTAGTGTGTGGTCAGAATCTGTAGAATTACATCATTCATAGATAGGAGGAAAACAAGATAGAGTTAAGTCATAACTTAGGCTGCTGATAATAGGCCTCTTCATTGGGCAAAATGTGTCAGGGTTCAAAGCTACCAAAAGTCAGTCTGTTCTCGTAACCCTTATTTTTTCATTGTTTGGATGGGGTTGTGTGAAAATCATGCACACACGCAGCTCCTGTTCTTTGGCAAACATTCACAATGAGGAGCAAATTGCTGAAGTCCTCTGTGGCAAAGTCCATGTTTTTCAGTTTTTACCCTTTCTGTATTTTTGAGAAAGCTGAAGAATAGTTAGATTATACTTACCAGGTAGCAGCAATTCTGTCAGCAACTCACCAGTAGCCCTTGCCACTTTTGAATAAATACTCACAGACTTACGCAGCCAGAATTTTGGTCGATTTGTTTAGTTAATGGGGTGAATTTTGTTGGGCCACTTGTGTTGTTAATGCTCACATTCACTGATGTGTGGTATTGTTGTCAGGGTCTACAAAATCTTCTTTTCATTGGCTTAAGAAATTCCACTACTGGAACACAAACCCTTCTCACTGCTTAGAAAGACACAGAAAGACAGCAGAGCCATTTGTAAACTAGGGCCTTTATCACAAAGCAACTGGGCAACATTTTTCTTTTGACTTTGATTAATGAATTCTCTTTCTCTAATTCTGCAGGTACACTGAGTATGGAGGGGCCAGATGAGGAGGCTGAGCAAAGCCATTGCTACAGATAGCAAAGCAGTGTGTCTCATTCCCGGTGACATTGCTTTGGAGAGGCAAAGGAGAAACACCAAATTCTAAGAACTGATGGAGGTAGAACACGAACAAGAGTTAAGAAACTCTGGCAACTTAATGGCATGAGAAAAAAATGAGGAAAGAAGGTGCTTGTTAGAAGGTAATGAATAGTTTCCAGCCTCTAAAGTTTATGTTCAGAGGGACGTTCTATAAAGTCTAATGACAAGGTCCCTGAGCAATAGCATGTAAGTATAGCCCATAAAAATTATGACAATGCATTTATAGGCTTTATTTTCACAGATTTCACTTTAGCTTTAGTTTGCACTTGGTATACCAAAATGTACTAGGTAGTTAAAAACCATCTTTTTGTTAGGTGACAGAAGGTTTGATAGCATTGTTCTTAAACATTCCCTTTTATATGTATTAATAAAGTTGTTTGTTTATTTAGACCCTGGTTGTCCACTTAGTCGTAAAGAAATGGCCGTTATGCTAGAGGGTTTGAAAGATGAGCGATGCACCCAGACTGTAAGATCAGATAGAACAGCATCACATGCTCACAGAAAAGTACATACCAAGGTTTATGTTTAATTTGACATGTAGTTAAAAAAAAAATCAACACTTATCCTTTGCAATCCATGCAATTAATCTGTCGCTATACAACTCTACAGATTTATAGTCACCTAACATAAAGCTTGTTAAAGTAGAAGTACCATAGGCTCTGTAAAGCCTCATGACATATGTGCATGGCATGTTCTGGAGCATTTTTGTAGCCAAACCCCCCACCTTACATATTAGCAGTAAATTGCACCCTATAATGGCCTCATCTGAATACGCACAGTCTTCCTAATTTTAGCCTTTCTGATTTCTTGTGAAAGGTATGGATGCTTTCCAGAAGTGCAAGTCAGCTCAAAACAACTTACAGCAAAAATTTACAGGATCCAGACCTTGCTGGAATCCTCATTTTTGGTTTGTCAAGTAAAGGTGTATAATGGAGCATGCTACAAAATTGCTTAAACTGTGGTATGAAAAGAAATGTTGTCTTGCCTTCCAAATGCATGCTCTACTTCAGCAGTGGCTAAGAACATAGCTGTTTTTTCTGGGTAGGCCTCATGTTTTCTGGGACTTGCTTCTAAAATAATAACAAGTAATAGAGGTTTTCCAAAGTATGCTAACAACTTGTAAGCCAACACAAGCAATGCCACTGGTTCCTAATAAAGTTCCAGTTTGTCTAGTATCTTGTCAGTGCCTGCCACTGTTTTTGTTGCAGTGTTTCTGATGTAGGCATGACCAAATTCCTCAAGACATTCAGAATTAGAGTTATATTTCTTCTGGTTAATGCAGGCATGAAAACTTTTGGTAAGACAAACTGTAGGCCCAACTTTTTGTGGGGGGAGTACTCCCTATGCTAGGCTATGAAGGCAAGCCTTACATATGAAGAGACAGTCATATCCTTTTGGGAGCAATCAAGATCCTGCAATGAGAGGAGTGTAATTATTTTGCATATAATAAATACATTAAGTATTTAATTACTTGAAGGACAACTGGAAAGAAGAAGAACGTAATTTTTTGTGTTAGAGTCATGTTTTCTTGACCATACACATCATTCTGAAAATAGTTGGAGTTTCTAATTCACATAAAAAATTTTAATTCACATAAAAAAGCAGGTTTGAACCTGTTAAGCAGGCAGGTGTTACTGTTACTGAAATACCCCACAAAAGATGAACCAGGTCTTTTATATTTTACAGGAAGCATTTTCCTGAAGGGTAATAGTAACTAGTTTTCTCATTCCAATTCATCTTTTATTCATTATATTTATAAAGATGCAAACCTTTATTCTCTATTGCCAGAAAAAGAGAAGACACCTAAAAAACCAAAATGCTGTGTAAGCAAAACACTCCAGTGCATGTGTTTTACATCCCTCACCTTGGAAGAGACAGATCTAAACCCACCAAACATATGGTAGATGATAACAACATCACTCACATCACAGGTGCAGCTACAGTCATCAGTACATCAGTCAGACCAGGTGCAGCTACACTGGGATGACAGAGCTGCTCAGTCACGTCTGCTATTGTATCATACAGGCAGGATCATGCTGGCCAAATCTGCCTGCATCACCAAAGAGAGGGAGGTTGAGTGGGAAGGGACTGAAGTCTTTTCAAGCTTGCCATCCTGTTAAATACACACTTGCCATAATACATTTCCTGGCGACTGTTTTGCCAACAACCTTAGCAACAGATGTGATAGACTAGACCACCTTGCAAATCCTTCATTTTTAAACCCTTTCAAAAGTAAGAGTATAATGCGAACAAAACAAAATAGGAGCTCTTGACCTGAGTTTTGCACTCACCTAGCCAGTGTGCGTATGACTAAATGAAAGAAGACACTGGAAAAGCAGGCTTAATATGTAGGTATCCATATTTTATCTCTTTCCACCCCATCTTCTCCTTTTCATTTTAAATAATGATGAGAACTAGGTGAACACTGAATACGAAATTCATGTTCCAAAGAAGCAGGACAATATTACAGTTTAAAAATCAAATTGTTGGAGTTGGAAGATGGAGGGGCTTTAGACAGAAACAGCCTGGAGAAAGTCAGAAAGAGAGGAAGGTTGTCTTTAACCCAGGTAAGGATTTGGGAACTTTCCTGTTAAAACCTATGTTCAACGCAGTCTTGCAGAAGTAGACTTAGAAAGGAAACTTTTCCTTCAGTGGTGACAGCAACCGTATACTTCCAGTAATTTGTGCTGAATAGGGTTTCAGCTGTGCAGGCAAAGCAAGGTGAGAGTTCCGACACAACAGAAAGCTTGGGCAGGGCTATCACCTCTTGAAAATCAGAGTAGCCCATTTTCTCTATTCCAGGGCTGTTAGTGGCTGCAAAGAGGTGCAAAATAACACAAAAATACCAACAGTGCACATGAGTGGATTTCCAGTGGTGCAGACATACTGCCAGTCCAACGTCATTTTTATGGAGGATTATTGCAGCCTCTTTTGCAGTGAGTAAGGTAATTTCTGCTTAGACCATGAAGGTACAAAATCATGCATGCCAGTGTTACAAAAGAGACATACTGTCTGGGGATTATGTTTATTCCTGTTTGGAGAACCGCTGTATTGCTGTAGACTCACTGCACGCAAGTATTGGTCAGGGAGATTTCAACAAACCTGTACTCTTTATTTGTGCCTATAATAAAGTAATAAAAATCAATTAATATGCAGAAAAAAATGAAGCAATATAAGGCTGTGATCCCGCATTAACTGATATAAAATCTGTGCATGCTGGAATTCCTGGCAGGAAAAATTTGCTCTGCATTGGCATGAGCACATGACTGTATTTTTATCAAATCAGCCAGAGCATATGTTACAGTGTTCATTCAGATATTATGCCGGCTTTCTGTCAGTTGAAGAGTATAAATTATGCCTGATCCAGCATAAAGTCACGCCTACAAACAGAAAATATCTCATCTGATAGAAACTCTCCTGGGATTAAATGATTTCTTCCAGCTATTTACAATCTCACAGAGTAATAGCCTACCACCCCAATATGCTGTAAACTCTGCATAGTCCTTAGACAAGTCTCTTTCAAGTCAGAGCATGCCTGTATCTGATTAGCTGTAAATAAACTGACAGTTTTTTCCTCAGAGGGAAAGAAGGGGAGAGTTGCAAAGTCAAATTATATTTTACACCTTAGGCAAATACAAAAATGTTTCAGAATATGATTTTTATAGAAATCTCAAGTGTACTCATCTGTAAATGTAAATACTGAGAGGGGAGACATAATTCTGGAAAGTATGGGGTTATGTTTGGGCCCATATTATGAAAGAAAAAGGATTTGATTTTGTGCTTCCTGACATGTTGCTTCTTTTTAATATGCAGCTGCTGTGTCACATTATAGATCCTTGGCATTTCATTGTGAAGAGGAATGATCATGACACTAGTTACTGGAGGTGAAGGCAACGAACAAGAACATTACAGTGTGAACCAGATCTTTTGAAATCTCATAAGTCAAAGGGCTGAATCCATCAGCAGGCATATACAGGTTTAAGTAACTTGGATATAAAATGGGCTGAGGTTATTTAAGATTTTATTGGAGTTTTGTTAATTGTCATTTAAGCTCCATTCGAATTTATAAATTTACTTTTGTCACTGCAGTGTTGTCTGTCTTTGCCCAGGGATTGTAACTGTCTGCAATTCAACATTCAGTGACAGAACTGCTTAACATTGTCCAGGCAAGCCTGGCTCCTTGCTTGTACACCTGCACTGCAGTCTTTACTACACTAGCATGATTGTTTTGGGTGCATAGTGGGCTAGCCTGTGATTTAATTCAAGAAAAGTAGGGATTATGAAAACTGGCACTGCCACTGACTGTTTTTATCTTTTCCTCCAAACTACATGGTGTATGAAATTAAATGGAACCAGGAGCTTAGAGGAGACCTGATAAAAGGGTATGGTGGTGTGGGATAAACTGAAAGAAGGATTATTCCTGACAAACTCAAGGCAAGAGCATGCCTGTACCTCCATTCCAGGGAATAAGTTAAAATAGAAAAAGTTATCCTGAAAAAAAAAGTTATCCTGAAGCAGATGGAATCATATGAATACAGAAATACTTTTGAAAAGTACAGCATGTACTGGGGCCTGTAAGTCAGCTTTTTTTTCTGGTATGACTACATCTCTATACCACTGTGACGGTATAACAATGTTAATATAAATGTTCTCCTAACAGAGTTATGCTAATAAAACTTTTACAGGTACAAGACCCCTAAAAATTGGAATAATCAATAAATAGCATACCCATCTAACGTTAAAAATTGCACACCCCACATTCAACAAGAAATCCTATAGTGCAGATCTTAGTTAAGAGTTTGTAGAGCTGTGATGCTACTAAGCTAGCACTGTAGGACAATGAAGTTCTTCTTTAGAAGCTGAAGAGCCATTCCATTTCTCTTGATACATTTTGGTGAACATTCCCAAATCATTCTCAGCACAGCTGAAACATCTTTAGCATTCTTCTACTCTTTCTTCTTCCACTACCACCTCTTGAAAGCTTATGTTTGTTCTCAGAAGGGGGCCAGATTGTACTGAGAGATTGGTATTTTTAATAAAAGTTTCCTGTGGAGGAATAACCTAGACTCTTGGCAGCATACCACTATTCAATTCATACAAAGCAGTCAGAATTTACTCTAGACACAGGCTTTGGCTCATTACCGTTGTGATATGATCTGTACTAGCAGTGCTGTTCTAACTGCAATGCTTCTATAGCCATATCTGCAAAGGGTCTTTAATGCATAGAAACTTGATCCCTCAGATGTGGATGTAGTCCTGTGTTCCTTCTCCTTCCCTCCTTGCCTCTTACCTTCCTCCTAGAATCCCTATTAGTGGCTGGTCTGTCAAAGAAATGCTCTGGCTTGTAAGCTGCACTGTAGGAAAGTTTGTAAGGAGCATTGCTCTTAACATTGCAGAATATTGGTGTAAATATGATGTTGGGTGCACGTGGTGTTTATTTTCATTCCTGCAATTTGGTATTCCTAACATGTCATGTGGATAGGTTTTGTGATGTGGATTAACTTTTGTGAATGCTGCTTACCTCTGTTTAAGTTACTGTCATCCTTACATGCTCCAAAAAGGCAGTTGCTTTCACAGTAGTATTCCAGGAAGCCACAAACTTTTTTCCCTCTTTCATTCAAAGTTCCCTCTTCAGCCCTCTATGCAACTGCCTATTTCTAACACACACTTAAAATGTGACCTGCAAGAGCCAGCTCATTTCCTGGTAGTTTCTGTAGCGCACTAGCCACTGTTCTTTGTGCTCCCATGCCAGTCATATCAGTCTCCTAAGAACGTGCCCTGTCATCAAAGCATGTATGAGTAAGAACGTTTTGATCATACAAGAAATAATTCATCATTATGCAGCAAAGTCTATAAAACCGTAAGGTGCATTTTTGAAGCAGTGAAAACCTAATTAACCTTTTTTAGATACAAATCTAGAAAAACCCCAAACCCTTAAACTGTGTTAGTAAGGCAAAATGCATAGAAATCTTTTACACAACACAATTTATAATGATATGCAATTATTATAATTGGTATGTTGTTAACTCCCAGTATGATTAAGTCTCATTGCACAGCAATGATAGTGGCACACCTGATTTAGGATTTGCCCACAGATGATACAAAAATAAATTCCCCAAAACAAAACATGAAATTTTTTGGGTGACCTTATGAAATACTTTAAGAAAGGAGAAGGTCCAGAAAGAGAGAAGAGCTTGGGGAAATAGGTAAGTGGTAAAAAAATATGCTGAGGGTTTGCTTTAATTGGGAATAATCCTGAGCATCACCCAGTTTCAACCACGATGCCTTTTGTGCTTAGAGCCTCATCAGTCATGCACATGGTGCTCCTTGGTCACAGAATAATTTATTTTGGAGGTATCTTGGAGGTCACTTGGTCCAACCTTGGTTTGGAGCAGGGCCATTTGAAAGCAGGTTGATCAGGGCCTTGTCCTGCTGAGTTCTGAATATCTTCAAGGATAGAGAGTCACTAAATCCCCTTTGTTATAATTTTTTTTCCCACAATTGCTATTCTATCTGTCCTACAGTTTGTCTATCCTACTATATGATTCATGACCAGGATCATTTTAGGAAGTAATTTTGCATTGTTAGAATCTGCTGCTCTTCTCCCTTCTTCCAGTCTTGGACTCTGATGTTAGGGGAGCACAAAGGACAGGAAATCACAAATCAGGAGACCAAGGAGTTAGTCTGGGAAGCTTCTGGTTCTTACAGCCAGAGAGGATTTTGTACAGTGCCTTGGACATCTTCTTACCATGACATCCACTGAGGAGCTGAACTGGAGAGTATCTTTTGCTATAGTTAGTCAGATGGGTCAAGGTCTGCATGTGTATTTTAGTGGTTCCCAAGTCTGTTATGTTTTACTTTAGTTTTCCTGAAGGCTGGGGATCTGCAATCGGATACTAAGAGCACTGCTGTTTATCCAGTCCCTGGTCTGCTCCCAGAACGGCAGGCAGATTCCCTCACAGACACTGGGAAAGGATTACTGGTGCCTCAACTTACTGCAGTACATAAAGTTATAGACTGTAGCCCTGGAACTGGCCAATGCACATGCAG